CTTCTACTCTACTCAAGGAGTCCTGACGGCACAGTGGCTAAAATGCTTGGCTACTAATGGAAAGGTCAGTAGTTCGAACCTACCAGTTGCTCCTTGGGATAAAGATGAAACGATCTGATTCTGTAAAGAATTTACAGACTTGGGAAACTCTGTGGGCAGTTCTACTGTCCTCTAGGGTCGCTAGGAATTGGAACTGACTCAATGGTAGTAGGTTACTCTACTCAAGAGAATCACTTTTGCAGTTCAGAAGCTCCTCTTTTCTATAGGATCAAAGGCCTTTCAATTTTAAGCTTATTTCCACAGTGCTGTAGTCTTGAAGCAGATAATGAGGTTAGAAAACAAGGGTCATGAAAATTCCCATCAGTGGCAGTTCCCACCATTTCAGGCCCAGCAGCCTGCACAGGACAAATACCCAAGATGGTTTGAGAGCACACTACTAATCTCTATAGCCTGACAGCTCTGTCGCTAGTAAATTTAACCCAAGCTGTAGTCGTGTAGGGGACACAAGAGACTCCCACCCCTTTTCTTACCAATAGGAGCCTCCTGCTTCTTCAGAAGCTACTTCCCCATTGTTTAAGAACAGGCAGTGAGTGATGTTGGCTGCTGCTTCAGTTGGCCTTGAGGCGATTCAGATTCCTGGAGTGAAAGTGCTCTATAGGGTTTTCAGGGCTGTGAACCTATGGAAGCAGATTGCTAGGTCCACCCCCAACCCTACTTTCAAATGGGGGCCCATAGCTGTGGAAGCTATGCAACATCTTGTCATTCCATTTCCATCAAAGGAGGTTTTTCCTGTGCGTGTCTCTTTGCAGAGGGCTCATAGTCGCCATAACATAGGCTTCTTAAGACCCCTGAGGAACCTGAGAAGCAAGGATCAGGAATACCCAGAATGACCTTTTACTTATCGCTCCTCTTCTCCCAGGGGCCTAACTTATGTATGAGGTGAACACCACATAACCTTACTTGTGTTATTTCTCTAAATGCTCGCTGAACTATGAAAACAAAACAACACAAAAGAAAAACCCACCAAAGCAGCACCTGAGGAGGTTCCTGCCGGAGAGGTTCCCTGGTAGAGGCTAGTCACAACCTCACCCTGCTTGAACATACCACTCACCTGGCAATTATCAAACCCAGTCTCGTGCTGTGATTTCACTGATGGGGATATAGTACACACATCCCTGTCTCAGTCAGATGCTCTTTGACATCTGTCTTCCTCCCAGTTTCAGAGCAGGGTCTCATGTGGCCTTGGACCACTCCAGGACTGAGCTTCTGAACAGTTAGCAGTCCTGAGGGGTCTGTTAAAGAGGGGATCGAAGACCAGCCTGGAGTGCAGTTGAAGGTTTCCACTTGATCAAGAGGAGGTGAGAGGTGGCGTGCCCCTGCAGCCTGTCCACTGGGGAATCAGCGTGTGCAGAGGAGTTCATGCTCATACTGACACACGGAGATTTCTTCATGAGCCCTGGACTGCATTCATCGTGAAGCTGGACTCAGACTTTCACCTTCTGGGTGAAGGCGCACCGCAGAGACAAAGAGGGGAAGGCTTCGTCTGCTATCTGTGCCGCTGCTTTTTAAAGGATTTACTTAGAACTGAGTTATCAGAAATGATCAACTCCGGCACCTATTGCTAACAGAAATTCAGACTCCATAGACTAGAACTCAGAGCAAAGCAACTATTTCCTTTCCCATGGCCTTCATGGAGGGGTTGGTGGTCAGCAAATTGTACTCTGTTACCCTCATGCTACTGTTCTAACTTTGCAGATACTTATGGATATTAGGTCAGTGGCCGGACTGCTGTTTCCAGCAAAAGCTACACATGTTCATAATTGCATGCCCATGTAGGTAAGCATTACATGACACAATTCTCTACTGCTTCTCTAGGAAGAGGTTTAATTTTAGTGTTGCCTCTTCAACACTGTCCCCAATTTATTTTTTTCTTCATGAGCATCTTAAATATGTGTCACCCAACTCTCCAGAACTGAGATGCATGATTGGGCAAGGCACAGGAGTACAGTGGGGGGGCCCTCAAGGCCTCTGCTGGAGCCACCTTGCTCTCACCTGAGCCAGGTTGGCTGGAGGGAACCTGCAGGCTCATTCTTGTACCAAGGCCTACACTACCTCCTTCGGTCACCTATTCTGCCACAGTGCTCAGGTTCTGACTCGGTGGTCACTGAAAAACATGCTCCTGCCAGATGACCTTTAAAAACACTCCTAGATGACCACTGATAACAGCAGCTTTTAAAAGAGGCAGTTTCATCATACCTCATGTAGTCAGAGAAACAAGTTCTCAATCCCATCCCCCACATTTCAACAGGATGAAAAGCACACCTATCATTAACAGTTGCCTTTAAGTCAATTCCAAATCACGGGCCCTCCTCTCCCGAGCCATGTGTGTCAGAGTAGAAAACTCCATGTTTTTCTCAATGACTGCTTTTTAGGAAGTACATCACAGTCCTTTCTTGCAAGGTGCCTCTAGGTGACCTGAACCTCCAATCTTTTGATTAACAGCCAAACGTGTAAGTTGTACCACCCAGGGGTCCTAGCAAATGAGCCATACAAAATGTGAATACGAAATCATGTGTGTAACCATTGGTTGTATGGCGTCTTTGTGTGTATTAAGATACAGAAAACCAAGACTTATTTCCTTCTCGCCCCCTTTCCTCCTCTGCTTCTAAGAACACTTTAGATGAGAACCTTACAAACCCTGGACCTCTTCGTATCACTGCCCCATCTTATCTGCACCATCGTGAGCACCTGCCAAATCATGTCCTTATCCCAAAGCTATCCTCAGCAGCAATAAGGATCAGCACTAACACTTTAGCAGTCTCTCAGAGTCTAGGACAGCAAGCAAGTGGAATTCAAGAAATCAGCTTCGTGCTCAACAAAAGCGCAAAAAAAGTGTCACGTTATTTGTTTTATTCGCTAATATTTCAGTCTTGGGAACTGCAGCAGCACCAGTTATTAAAAAGAGAACATTATGGAAGGCTTTATACAGTTTGTACCTCAAAGTCCTAACAAAAAGGATACTAAATATGTAAAACACGATTACTACTAGTCAACCTTGTTATTGTTATGTGCCATTGAGTCAGTTCTGACTCCTAACAACACACCGTATAGGGTTCCCAAATAGTGGCTGGTAGGTTTCAACCACCGACCTTGTGGTTAACAGTGCAGTGCCGATCCTACAGTGACAAACCAGGACTCAGCTTTGTTGTTGTTGTTAACTGCCATCAAGTTGGTACTGACCCATAGCGACCTTATGCACAGCAGAACGAAACACTGCCCGATCCTGGGCCAACCTCACTACTGTTGCCATGCTTGAGTCCATCAATGCTGCCACCTGGTCAATCCATCTCGCTGGGAGTCTTCCTCTTTTTCTCTGACCCTCCAACCTACCAAATATGATATCCTTCTCAATCATATCATATTGTTGTGTTGTTAAGTGCCGTGGAGTCAGTTCCGACTCATCGGGACCCTGTACAGGGTTTCTGAGGCTGTAAATCTTTACGGGAGCAAAGAGCCTCCTCATCTTTCTCCCGCGGAACAGCTGATAGTTTTGAACTGCTGACCTTGAGGTTCACAGACGGCCTAAAGTCCAGGGGTAATTTTTACCACAGTTGTTAAGATCCAGTATGAGTGATTTCAAAGTCACCGGGACCAAGGCTTATTGCTGAGAAACAGTAGCCAAACTTACGCAAAAGGGAAAACTTAAAGCTACGACAGTGAGATTAGTCTGAGTTGTCTGACCAATCCCAGGGTGATTTTGTCTTCTATCCCTGCTGCTGTTAAAGTGTGGTTGAGTTGGTACCGACTCCTCAAGCAGCTGGTAGGTTTAAACAGTCAAACTTGTGGTTAGCAATCCAGTTCTTATCCTACAGCGCCACAGTAAGACCCCTCCTCTATCCCTAGCACATTAAAAACTGACCTCAATGGCCACTTCCTGGTCACTCAGTAAATGCAGGAGCTCACTCAAGTGTCTGCATACTACTGTATCTTCCCATTACCCAACCTTTCCTGCCAAAGGGAAAGATGGCCCCTACTGCCAATAAACTCTTGGGATGGACACTATAGGTCTTCCCCTAGAGAGAGAGAGAGAGAGAGACAGACAGACACACAGACACGCACGCACGCATGCACACACACACACACACACACGCAGAAAATATTACTCTACAGACAGTGATCTCTCAGGAGGGACACCTAAGAAAGTAACACCTTGGAGTTAACGCTGACCCTTTCGGTTCAAAATCACCCACCAGGCTGTGACCCTCCTGGTGGGGGGAGGGGAGGGGAGCGAAGCAGGGATGTGTGGGTACCAGGAGAGACCACCACCTCTAATTCACTGCCATGAAGCAAGGCTCTCTGGCTTGCTCACAGTCACAATGGTCACCTATGCCCAGGCAAGCGACAGGAAGGATCCCATTCCGTTCCTCAAAATCATGTTCCCTCCATGAGACATTTGGTAAAAGGAACGCTCCATGTGCTAGGGGCAAAGCGCACCGGGGGCTTCTCTCCGAAGCCAAGCAGGTGCTCCCAGTCTGGAGGCGAGAGAAGGACTGCACTGGCCACCCAGGAGGCCCAGGCACTAGCTCTCCGAGTCATGGTCCAGACACCAGTTGCTCTTCAGTCCTTCGCTTTCCCCTCCCCCCTCGTCGGGAGAGCTTTCCGGGGGTCTCGAACCCCGGGGAAGAGCGAGGCAGGCAAGCTCTGTCCGGAGCAGCCAGAGTCCACGAACTGGAGAGCGAGGGCAGGCGAAGCTCTGACCTCGACCCCCGTCTGCTCCCTCCGCCCAGGCCGCACGGAAGCCTCGGCCTCACGTACCAGGCGCCGCCGAGCTGCCCGACCTAGCCCCGGCCCCAGGGGGCGAGAAGCCGGGATGGCAGCGGCCCTAAGGGCCGGCGGGACGCCAGGCAGTCTCCCGGGGTCTGGCGGGAGCGGGGCACCGGGGAGGGGGAGGGTCCCGGGCGCACGCGGCCTCCGTCCCAGCCCGCGCGACGGGCACTTACGTTGCTCTGGGCGTCGATGGCCTGCAGCAGCCGGTCCCTGATCTGCTGCGGAGACGCCGGAGCCGCTGTCATTGCCTGGGCGAGGCGGGGGGGAGCGGCCGGGCCGGCGGGCGGGCGGGCTGAGGCGGGGGACGGGGGTCACTCACTCGCCGGCCTCCGGGAGCGGAGCCGCATGTTCCCGCGGCGCCGAGGCGAGAGTGGGCGCGCGGGGTGGCGGGAGAGGGGACCCGGGGCCGGCGCTCGGGCCGGGCCGCCGCCGCCACCGGAGGAGGAGCCGCCGGAGCCTCCGGAGCCGCCGCCTCGAGAACCAAACTCCAGTGAGCTGCCCCCGCGCGGAGCACTCTGGGTAACCCGCGCCGCACGCAGCGTCGGCGCCACGCTGAGAAGGTTGGGAGATGGGGCGGGCATAGACGCTGGGCCAGGGCGGGGTCGCGCACGCGCGCGCAGGCGTACTCCACTTCCGTCCCGCCCCACATCGCCACCCGGCCCGGGAAGCGGTTGAGAGCGGTTGGGCGGAGCAACGGCCGCCACCCGAGGTCCCGCCCCCGCCGCCCACCGGCTGCTTCCGACGGAAATTCGCCGTTTACGCGCTCGCGCCGATACCTTAAATCCTGCGCGCCAGGCGGCTACCGAAAATCTGGCTTGAGGGTTGCAGGGCTGTCGGCGCGCGAAGGTGACGGGCGTCACGGAAGCCGACCAGACCCCCTCGAGAGGTCTTGGGGACGCTGGACCAAGATGTGCCTGTTACGGTTTTGAGTGGGGCGACAAATTTCTGTTGCGGTTTTGCGCGCATCACGGCCACCTGAGAAGCTTTGTATAGGACGCAACCCCCTTCTCTTATGAGTGGTGTGGGGGCCAACCTTACGACGAGAAAGCGGGATGTCAACGGAACTCGGCATACTGAAACGCCAGCCCCTTTGAGCTGATCCCAAGGCTCCAAACCTGGGTTTCCCCACCTCGACACCACTGACATTTGGGACTACCTGGTGCCTTGCAGGGCGTTTAGACGCAACCCTGGCTTCCACCCCACTGGTTGCCAGTAGCACTCTCTCCCTCTGCGCCCCCAGTGTGACAGTCATGTCTCCAGACATTGCCAAATACACCCCCCCCCCCGGGGAGCAGTTGATAACCGCTGGTTGAAAGACCCCTTCCATCCTAATTTGCTTGGGGGGGGGTGGGTTATAAAACAAGACCTTTCTCTGAGTCAAGAGGAAAAGTCCAAGGTCATCCAGACAGTTCTGTGTCAAACCCAGACTGATGTCTAGTCTAAGGGCTCCTCCTTTCCACCCCTCCCAGCTATCGTAACTGCTAGCTGGCTCCCCTCTCTGGGAGCTCTAAGAAACGCTGTTATGAGATATAAGGGTGGGAAGAATTATCAACCTCCGCCTCGGGAGCTAGAACTTCTTGTAACAGTAAGACCTAGGTTTAAAACACAACACGAGGGTGGCAGCTGATGAGAAGCACCTGTGAGCCTTCAATCTGTGCTCCACCTGTTAGCCTCGCATTTGTCATGCTTCTGGGAAGCGATTTGCAAAAACTGCCGCTTCTGCATATCGCTGTGGTTTCTTGTTTCTGCACATGTGAAAACTTCTGCATCACTCTTGGAAGAGAAAATAAACAAGGGCAAACTACTTCCCCTTTAATTTACTCACTCTCCCTCATATAGTCCAAGTTGAAAGCTGGCCCATTTATCTCAATTCAGATAAGCAAAACAAATCTTTCCCCAAGCATATGCCAGTCCTGCTTCTTAAAATTTCCAATTTAGATATACAGCATCTTTTTGAAAAAAATCAAGGATTACATGGAAATGTCATGCCTTGCGTAGGTCAGGTGGTTTTATGAAAAAAATGTGAAAAGCACTCCACTTACCCGTTCTTAAACTCAACAGCATTAACTGTAGCTTCATGAGAGAACGGACTCATTGTCCCCAGTAGACAGAAAAACACCTATTAACTAACCCCTGGCAGGTACAAATGGCTCACATGCTTGACTGCTACCCAAAACTTCAGGCATTTCAGAAGGCCTGCCAAACTAAACTACTTCAGAAAACTTGCTAAATGTACTTAAGGAGTAAATGAGTGTGTCCTCAAATGCATGGCGGCTGTTCATACACACCCATGCATATGCGCTCATTTCAGTTCCATATATCTGGTATACACTCAAACCCAAATCCATTGCTCTTAAGTAAATTCCAACTCATGGCAACCCCATGTTGTCAGAGTAGGGCTTTCTTGGCTGTAATCTTTACAGAAGCCCATTGCCAGGCTGTTCTTCTATGATGCCACGGTGTGGATTCACACCGTCAACTTAGTGTTCCAACTCACAGGGTTTCCGATGAGCAGCTGGTAGGTTTGAACCCGTGACCTCACAGTAAGTAGCTCAATGCTTATCCTAGTTAAATACAAACCATTTGTACCACCATTCAATAAACATTTCCTGAATGAGTGAAATACTTTATATTACACATGCATTCAGGCACACGCACATACAAATAGGTCAATACATCATTTTATTCATTTAACATTGCCTATAAAAGGGTGCTTGTAATGGTGACGACTGAGTAAGACAGGCAGGGAATAGGAGTCCTGAAAGTGAGTCGCTCCTTAGGCCCAGGGCAGACACTGCAGTTCATCTACTCAGCCTTCTGCTGCCAAAGAGGAGACACTTGAAATGACTCTTGTCAGTTACATGAAGATGGGGTGCAAAGTAAGTTCTTTTGTAGTAATACTTCTCCAAATTTGTGTTCCTTATTCAATTATTTGAGGTCTGGCCACACTGTCCTTAGAGGAAAAGGCATTCAGTGCTTGTAACACCCAAGTGACTAGGTCCATGATTTGCTCTGACCCTGGGAAGTAGCTGGAAGAGTTTCAGGAGGCCACATGCAGAGCATCTTCAGGCAAGCTTAATAATGAAGGAGTGGGATCTTTTTCCTTTGAGACAACACTGTGGCCCAAGCAAAAATCTGGACAGGGAAGCAGTGAATAGGCAGGCTAACAAAACTGTGCTGAACCAGTCTACAACAGTACCACCAAGTGACTGCAAGGAGCAACAGCAGGAACAGAATACCCGCCTGACTGGTCAGAAGCAGCTGTGCACTCATTAAGTCTCTGGGAGTCCTGGACACTTAGCAGGAAAAGTTGTTACTGGACTTCCCTATAATGCATGTAAGGGCTCGGGTGAGCAATAGGAAGAACAAATGCAAGAAAACCTATTACCCCACTTTGATTCATATGTTTGTCCTGATTTTAGCAGTCTTGTGTGAATTTTTAAAAGCATCTTCTCATCTAGTAACTCATTCAACCAAATCAGTTATCTCAGAAGTACTTAAGAGATGAGGTTAAAAGTTCTACTTGGGCTTGCAGAAAAACTTGTATAAAATCTTCTGCAAGCAATGTACAGGCAAAAAAAATTATGCTTATGCATATAATGTACAAAAATATGCAAAGGGAAGCAAGCAATATATGAACAGTAGTTATCTCTGATGGGTAGAGTTAACAGGTGACGACTTGGATTTTTCTCTTCCCTTCCCCCCCAGTTCTATATTTTCTAAAATGAGCATGTATTGCCTCCAATGAATATAGTCAAGTGCCAGAGTCAGGCTCGGACCTCAAGTAGCCTTCACAGTTCCAGCATCTTGGTCTGCTACCACAATAGTCTAAGAGTGTGCCAATGGTGCCTAAAGACTGAGGGTGGACGGAGACCTGAGTGCTGACACTTTGTTTCCCCTACTGCCCGGTTTTGCACGATCATGCTTAGCAATAAAGAACATAACAATAACCTTTATTGAGTACCTACTGTATGTCAGGTTCTATGCTGACAATTTTATATGAGGCCCCTAATGAACCCCACCTCTAGATATTCAAAGCCCTTGGGTCATCCCCTCCCTTGATTCTGGGCTGGGCCTAAAACTCACTTCAGACAAGAAAATTGCAGTGGAAGCAATGCTCTGGTTGTTCCAGACTCCAGACTTATGAAGGCCTAGGTGTCAACACATGACCTAGCAACCCTACTCCTGGGAATCTGCCTGAAAATGCAACACATACATGCACACACAATTCTGTGCATGCATGTTCATAGCAGTGCTCTTCACAAAAGATCAGTGTCCATCAATGGATAAATACAATGCAGTCTACTCATCTAATACTGGTTTTGTTGTCATTAAGTGCTTTGAATATTTCTTGTCCATAAAAAGGAATAGACTTATACCACACATGGATGCGCCTTGAAAACATTATGCTAACTGAAAAACCCAAACCCAAAAGGATATGTTATTTCGTGATTCTATTTAAATGACTGCAAACTTCTTAACTTGGACAGTGAATAAAGAAGACTATATGAGACATTGATGCATTTGAGTTATGGTGTCGGAAGAGAATAATAAAGTACCATGAACCACCAAAAGAACAAACAAATCTGTGTTGGAAGAAGTACAAACAGAATGCTCCTTAGAAGCCAGGATGATGAAACTTAGTCTCTCAGACTTCCGACATATTATCAGGAGTGACCAGTCCCTGGAGGGCATCATGCTTGGTAAACTGGAGGGTCATTGAAAAAAAGGAAGCCCCCCCAATGAGCTGGATTGGCACGGCAGCAGCAGCAATGGGCTCAAATGTAACAACAATTGTGAGGTTGGTGCAGGACTGGGCAGGGTTTCAGTCTGTTGTGCTGTGCATAGAGTCGCTATGAGTCAGTACCAACTTGATGGCACCTAACAACAACAAACTTGTCAGCTATAACCAAATATCTAGAGAGAATGAGTCACTGGGCCTGGGTTGGGGGAATCAATGTCCAGAACAGGCAACTGTATTAAGACAGAAAAGCAGACTCATGGTTGTCTATGGAATTGGGGAATGAGAAAATGGGAGTGATAGCTAATGGATAAGGTATTTCTTTTTAGGGTGATGAAAAAGTTCTGGAATTCAATTTTGATGATGGTTGCACAACCTTTTGAACATACTAAAATCCACTGAATTGTATCAACAGGTGAACTTTATAGTATGTGAATTAGATCTTGATGATGTTAAAGTGCCATCGAGTCAGTTCTAACCCACAGCAACCCTGTATAGGGCTTC